GGAGAAGTCCCCGACTTTGGAAGAGCTTGATCTTGGCAGCCGCGCCACTGTGGAGGAGCTCCGATCTTCACTGTGGAGGCTGGTCTTCGCAGTCAGCGCAGAAGGAAGAGAGAGGCTTGATGGACGCCGCCGCAGCTGCTGCTCCTCCTCTGCTCTTCATTGTTTTCTGCTGTGTGAACTGCTGTTTGCCTTGGAGCCAGCGGAATATGGACTGAACCTCCAGTAACTGTGAGCTGATAAGCCTTTCCTTCCTTCATTTTGAGCATCCAGTATTTGTCCCAGCAACAAGTAAAAAGTAACTAAGAATTTGGTACCACAGGAGTGGGGTCGTTGCTGTGGCTCAACCTGACCGTGTGGATGCCAAGCTTTTGGGAATGGCTTATGGGAAGAGATAGGAAAGATTCAGAGATGTCGCCTACAAGCGAAGCACTGGAACAGCTTCGGCTGTTCTGTATGGGAGATTCTGGTCAGAGCTCAGAAGACCAGAAGGCTGATGGAAAGCCTGCCTGTGAAGACCAGGCTGGGGAGGTTTCTGCTGGGAAGGACTGCATTGGTTGCTGGACTCCAGATCATTTGTGTTTTGCGTTGGCAGAAAAGCTGTCTGCATTTTGCTCGTGCCCAGAGACTTTGCCTGAGAGTGAGTTTAAGCATGGCGGACTGATTAATCTAGTAAAAAAATATTTCAAAACAGCCAAATATTGGGGCAGTGGCCTGGGTGTTACTGGGGACTTTCAGCCAGCTTTATTTTGAGAATCAAGAGCAAAGAGCCCAAAAGGATGATTTAAAATGTTGTGAGTTTGGCCAGAAAGGAAGCTCCAGGAAAGCTGTGGGCTGTGAAGACAGAGCTGAGAGGATCTCCATTGCTGAGAAGGAACAGGAGAGAAGAAAAGATGTCCTGAGAGCATCACAGGAGGTGGCAGGTTCTTGCCTTTGCAGCCTCAGAATCACAAGGGTGAAGAACTTTGCTTTGAGGAGAAAGCCGCAGAGCCCCATGTTCCAGGATGGAGGCAGTGGCCACACCGGGTTCCAGAATGGAGGCGGTGGCCACACCAGATTACAGAATGGCGCCAACATAGAGAATTTGTTTCTCGGAATCAGAATCAGAATGCTCAGCAATCCAGGCACTCACGCCCTACAGCCAAGAGAGAGGAAATCCTGGCTACTGCTCCAGCTGGCAGCAGCCCTTGGCATCATCCATGTGGCTTTGGTTGTAGGCGCATGCAGAATGCAGGTGTTCTGAGGTTCAGAAGGCTTCCACCCAGATTTCAGAAGAAGGCCTGGGAGGTCAGGCAATGTGCCCCTGAGAGGGCAATGTGTGAAGCTATGAATGAGAAGCCTACTCAGTGGAGACCTCAGAAGTTTGAAAAAGCCAGAAATGTGGATGGTCTAAGAAAAGCTGCAAAAAGGGAGCAAAGCAGGCCTGAGAGAAAAGCCATAGAAGCTACCCACAGAAGTGCTTTAGGGGTGGAGCTACATAGGGCTTTTGGAGCTCACAGCTCATTACAGGGTGCTCTGAATAGTCCTCAGGGAACTGCAGGACTTTACATTTGTCCTTCTGGACCGTGGACTTGTTTTGGTCCCAGGTGTTCATATCCTGCTGTGTATCCCTTTTGGAATGGCAAGGCTTATCTTGTGCCTGTGAATGTTAGAAGTGTTTAACTTTTCATATGTAGAGGGGCTCACAGCTAAGAGTTTGCCTTAGATCTTGGAGGCTTGGGACTTGGACTTTTCATGTTGCTGAAACTGGTAGGACTCTGGCAACCCTTAGTGATGGACTAAAATGTCTTTTGCATAAACGGTTGTGCATGAGTCTTTGGAGGGCCAGGGGTAACATGTCATGGTTCTAATGTAATGCAATGTTCAATTTGTAAAATGTGTAAGCATGTCTGTGTACCTGGAAATTGGCTTAAAAAAGTATATGTCTAGTTGCCAAGTTGACAAGGGGTGGATTGTGTTAGTTGATACATTGTGTCAACTTGGCTGAATCAGCTCCTGCGGATCTCAGCATGGGGGCCTAGCCCTGCAGGTAGGCAGGGCCCAGGAACTGAGAAAGGCAGGAAGCTGCCCTGCCTGGTTTCCTGCCGTCCACCCCACTTCTGTGAAGAAGTCCCTGTCTTTGGAAGAGCTTGATCTTGGCAGCCGCGCCACTCTGGAGAAGCTTCAATCTTCACTGTGGAGCGCGCAGAAGGAAGAGAGAGGCTTGATGGACGCCGCCACAGCTGCTGCTCCTCCTCTGCTCTTCATTGTTTTCTGCTGTGTGAACTGCTGTTTGCCTTGGAGCCAACGGAATATGGACTGAACCTCCAGTAACTGTGAGCTAAATAAACCTTTCCTTCCTTCATTTTGAGTGTTGGGTATTTGTCCCAGCAACGAGTAAAAAGTAACTAAGACAAGTATGCATACATAATTTCAAAACATATGCTATTAAAGCTTCATTAATACTAAACCAGGCAGGTGCTGTGCTGCTGAGCTATATCTCCAGCCCCAATTCTGTAAGTCTTAAACCAACATCACCTATAAATCTAAAGGCTCAGGTGATTGTCTTTGTCAGAGTAAAGTACTGGTATATAAAAACTGATCAATCAATATGCATTAAATAAATGAATGGTAATTTGTCATTGTGATTAAGAGCACTTAGCTTAAGTTGTACAATAAGCAGCCACCTATCCCAGCTCCATTAATGGACTTTGGAGAACTCTCCTTTTTCGCTCTGTTCCTTCTGCAATATGAGGGATTATGTGACCTCACTGATCTGAGCATTAGCAAGATTATAACTGACAAAGCGTGCAATGCTTGTATACTCTTAGTAGATGCACAGAAATAGTGGGAGGGTGGAAGTGTATATGCACATATATATTTCTATAATTTCATACTCTATCAACAGATCCATTATTATTGAAAAATCCATACTTTTTCTTGCTACATCACACAATAGATTACTATTTCTAAGATATATTTAAGAATAAATCTATGTTATTTTGTTTCATGGGCAAAAAACGAGTATAGAACATGAAAAACCTAGGGGTTTTAGGATTCTATCCTAAATTTGCTACTGTATTTTCTAGCTAAGAATCTGAATAAATGGCTGAACTTACTGAAAAAAAATAAATCTAAAGGCTATAACTTTACTTCATTATATGTATATTTAGAACTAAAAATTTTATTTTGCCTCCAAATATTTAGCAGTCTTATGCTTCTACTGTATTAATTATAAGCAACAAGGAAAAAATGGTAGAATTTGAAATCTAAAATCCAGCCTCTGCTCCTCATTTTCACTCCATGTTCAATCTGAGAAAGATTTTTTTCTTTTTTTCTTTTTTTGGCTGGCTCAGGCTGCCATAAAAGGTAGGTCTGGTAAGGCCAGGGAAGCTGAGGATTGAACTGCGGTCCCCTGAGCCTGACTGGATTTACCCAAGCAGACACTTAAACAACTGAACTATCCCGCAAGCCCCATCTCCTTGTCCAATTTGGATAGGACCTTGTACTCTGTGATAACAAAGTGGTACTTATTATGAAAATCTAATTTCACTCCCTCCACCAACTCAAGCCAACCACACACACACACACACACAAAATACATGTCAGTATCAGCTACCCATACACTCCTGACCAACATTCAAAGACAACTTATTTAAACAAAATCATAACCAAAGCAATTAAAATTTATTAGTATTTCCTGAGATGGTAGAAAAAACAACATACATTTGCAACCACAATGACAACACATATGCTGTTAATATATGTATGTAAATAAATAAAAAGATGCTACTTTTTGTAGAGAATGTAGAAAATACCATTATTCTCAAACAAAAAAGTTCACTCTATGAAAAAGAAAAAAAAAATAAGGGAAAGAAATATATTTTAGTGAGACATTTACAATCTGATAGCATCTCATCATCTCTCTTACATAACGTTTCTGTTATCAAATTTGTGTTCAAAATAGTTCAGAAAAGATGCCTAATACTTTTTTAATGAATTGCAATATATTAATTTGTGAAAAACTTCCTCCATCTCCTTTAAGTTAATGAAAATACTTCAGAAAAATCAAACATGGGTCCTTCCCCCTAAAAATGAAAAGAGATGTTTCTTAACTGACTTAACAGAAATCTATTTCTATTGGTCTTAAAATAGCGGCCGAGTGTAGATTATTTTAGCAACATTTTTCTATAAAGATTCAATGTCTGGATTCTGAGGATGTAAATAGGTCTTTAATGACTAGAATATTTCAAGTTTTATAATCACTACCATGCTGGCAATTAAAATAACTGAATAAATTTAAATACATTAATATATTAAAATACTGTAATAAAAAATAACTGAAAAACTGAATTAAAATGAGGACTTACATTTGCAAAGTTCTTTTAATATGAACAGAATAAAAATGAATAATTACAATTTTAGCTGCTATTTTAAAATATTCAAATAAAAGCTCACCTAACCTGAAATTACCTAGTATATTCAGGAACCTATTCTATATCTCTCCATTGTTTTATCTGTTGACAGAAGCATTTCTAGGATCTTGAGATTTCAGGACAATAGTCAAAGTCCATTATTAGAATGAAAGTCATCTGAAATTTCCTTGAAAAGTGAAAAACAGTATGTACACATTTACTTTTATTTTATATACAGTCTTTATAAACTGCAACATTTGCCTTCTCTTAAAAAACAATGATTATTCACAACCATTGTAAAGTCTAGAGCAAAAGCTCTGGCCTTCTGGCCTTCAATTTTGGAATATTACTAAGGCAGAAAGGGGTTTAGGTATCCTCACCAAATCTCAGTCTCATCCATCCTACAAAACCCAACTGTAATAAAGAAAGCACTAGCATAAAGAATCAAAACTGAATTTCAATTAACTAAAAATATTAAGAGTAAAAAGAGCTAACAGTTAGAAGCATAATTATAACCTAGGAAGTATTTGCTTTATAAAAAACTAGCACCAAATTTTTCAAAACATGATTTACTGTGCCAAAAGAAAAATTAGTTTGGTGATTACATACTGAAAGTTGTCCAGACAAGAACTGCGGAACATCTCTCAGCATGCCAGGACTCAGGGGAGACGTAACGGAAATAGAAGGACGATCCATTTTCTGAGATTCGAATGAGCTGGAACCTGAAGTGATAATCACAAGTGAGGAGCAATAAAAATGGCTCTTACAACTATAAGGATCTTTAGCACACATCTTTAAATGTCTATGAAATGCCATTACATAAGCTATTTTGTTAGGCACAAAGAGACCCCACTAAGGCTCTGTTGTTTTTCTGAAACATAAGTGACACAGAATCATTTTCTCTGCCAACTGTACTAGGGACAGGCCTCAACCTCAGAACTGAGTCACCTCTTCTTTTAGCGCATACTATGTTGCAGTAACATAGTTAGAAAATTTTAAAAACAGAAATAAAAGCATAACCACAACACAAATCAGTAAAGCAAAATAAAGATAGCCTAAACTTTAAGTGCTAAGAATATAAGTACTAAAATCTAAAGAACTACTGAATGTTTCCAGGAAGTGATTTTTTAAAGACCATATGGTGAAGAATATAAATTAGACTTGCAGAAAGGAAAAAAGGTCTATGAAAAAAGATGCAGAATAGCACAATGAGCAGAATTTGTACCCAAAATGTATTTTACTTCTACAGAAGGGAAGGAACAAGTTGGAAAATGCATAGAAATGGAACTAATAGGATGCAGGTGGTACTGTGCAGTTAGAATACTAGATGATGCATTTGGCACTAATAAAATATCCACACTAAGCTTTAACATAGAAGACAAGCACAGTGCATTTTGAGGAAGATTAATTTCTAACCTACTTAAAGCATTCACTGAAAAGAAGAAACATGGAAAACAGTTAACAAAAGCAAAAATTCAATCTGATAGTAAAGGTATGAAAAAGGAACTCAAGGGTGCCATGAAATGAAAAACCGAAGACCGTAGGACCGCGCGTGGCTGCAGCTCAGTGGTACAGTGCTTGCCTAGCACGCACAAGGCCCAAGATCGGATCCCTAGCAACCCCCAGACACACACACACACATACACACACACCCCAGAAATGATTGGGGTATAAAAAATAAAGAAAGGCAATGGAAAACATTAAGATTTCCAATCTGGCAATCAAGTGTGAGATCAAGGAAGTCTTGTGTTGTCTCTGTGGAAAAAGGAGCAGATGTTTCGTGGCTCTGGAGCACTGCGCTAAGAGAGTGAGTGGCAGTGTAAGGTGGGTCATGAGGTTCACAGCTGGAGTGAACCGTCAGAGGAGACTCACGCAGGAGATGACCTGTGGTTCTGCATGCCCAACTGGAGGCAGAGCTGGTGCAATTACCTCTACAGAGAGTACTGCATAAAAGTGAGGGAAACTACAAACTGGGTGTAAAATGATGATGATACCTTCATATTATTTAGAACTACAAAGAATGATGCCTTCAATGTTAAGAACAAAAGCAGTCTCTTACTGTAAACCTGCAGGTAAGCTAGGCTTGGTGGCACAAGGCTGAGTGAGGCAGGAAGCTCGCTGTGAGTTTGAGACCAGTCTGGGCTACATAGTGAGTTCAAAGCTAGTGTGAACTAGCCACCCAGTGAGATCTTGTCTTTAAAAAGCTGCAGGTGCATGAAGATATTTAACAGAATGTATTCTTTGAACATCCAGGGATGAAGTGACAATAACAGATCCTTCAGAATATATGCATACATGCAATGAGGGATTATATAAGCTAGCAGTTAAAACCATTAGACAAAAATGAATTGATGAACTGAGAACACAGATTTAGAGATTAAAGAATATACATGGAACCTAATATGATAAAAGAGGGTCTAATTTGATAAAGAACCCTTGTCTCTTCAGGAACAATTTTAGAACTGTGGCTCCTAAACTTTTTAAATAGCTAAATAAGATAAAGAGCTCCGTGAAGCTCACACAGCGGCAAGGTGTTCTGTTAATGCAAGTGTCTGGCATTTTCACATGCCCCACACAACTGTAAGGATTATAATAATGTAAGTACAACATCAAGTGCAGAGACAAGTACTAAATACAATGGAAATGGGCCATAGTGGCTCACATCTGTAATCCCAGCACTCAGGAGGCTGAGGCGGGAGGATCATTGTGAGCTTAAGCCCGGTCTGGGCTACATAGTGAGTTCAAGGTCACCCTGGGCTACATACTGAGACTCTGTCTCAAAAAAATCAAATAAATATATACATACATACAAAGGAGATGTGTGGGGAATGATAATAGTAACACCACAGCATAACAGTAACAATTATTATGCCGGGGTTTATGTGGTCTCAGACATGGCTTTGGATAAAATGACTTAGCACTTAGGCAAAAGTAGTAAATCAAATAAGTCATATGACTGCATTTTAAGGTACAGAGCTGTGGCATTCCAAAGGAACTTCACCCACCTGGTAGAGACTTCAAAGACATTTACACTTACAAATATAAATATGAAAGACAAAACCTAGTGTGCAGGGGCAGTGCTAGTTTGAACCCAGCGACCCACACATGCAAAACAAACAGTTCACTACTGGGCTACATCCTGGGCCAGAAAACACCTATTTTCAGCAACATATTTTAGTTACTGAGCTGTGAGGAGAACTGGACCACTTCCCAACACCTTCACTGCTGTCGCCAAGGTCTAAGTCTGTCTATGTTGCCACAAAATTATTAAAGTGGTCCTGTCATTGGTCTTTCTACTTCTACCCAACTCCATTTAATCTACTTTCACCAGAGGAGCAAGATTTCAAGGTGTGAACATCTCCTTGAAGCTGTCCTGGGTAGCCCCTGCTTCCCTCCAGGGAATAGCCCGAGTGCTGAGCACGGCTCCCAGGGCCCCTGCCACGGGCCACCTGCTGCCGCTCACCTTCCTGCCTCCCTCTGCCCTGCGCCCCACCCGGCCTGGCAGACACTTAGCCTTTCCTGCTCGGAGCCAGGGCACCAGCTCTATGTCCGAGCAGCTCCCACCCTAGCTGACCACTCGAAGCTTTGCTCCAACTCTTTCTCAGCTTGGTCTACCCTGAAGAATGGAGTGCAAATGGCAGCCTTCCCCCTTTTCTCTGCCAGTATCTCTTACTCTATTCTTGATCAGAAAACAGTTCACTGGGAAAACACCATTTAACATTTGAAACATACAAAACTAAGAAGTTAACAGTATCATCCATTGAGCATTTAAACATATCTATTGTTCCATTGCTACCTTGCTGTTAAATCAGAACTATTATTCTACTTCCAAAAATATAAATATGAACAATCATTCACTACTTTGTCCCAAGCATTTCCTCCTAATTAAAGTGAGGATACGAAGCTGTAAATTTTAAAACTTAAGGCAGACTTTGTTTGGGATTAACACTTTGGGAGTGTGCTCATGATCCGCGTGGTAACGACGGCTTCAGGGATTTTATGTTTGTTAGCACTTACCTAGGCGAGTACTGCACTTATGTGTGGCTTACTGTACTACATCTTAATAAAACCACCTGAACATCCACATGAAAGATAGCGTGGTTTCAGACTAACTTTAATTAATATAAAATTTTGCATGTTTTGTCATGGTGACATAAAATGGTATTAAATTATCTTAATGGTATACTTAGTAATAAATTTATCTTTTCACATTATTTAATAAGATGCTTCATTTGCTCAGTGTTGAATGACATCAGTAATGATATATCCTACTAAAATAAATGAAACTTACTGGATTCCAGTTGTGCATGTGTGCTATCAGGTATTCTAGGTATGTCCCTGAAATGACAGGAAAAAAAAGAAGAAACTGTTTCAACAAGGCAACTGTTGCTTTGATCATTATTAGCATACATAGTACCCCAACACTGCGAAATGAAAAACCCAACTGTGTGTGGTACAGGAATTACGTAAATAAGAAACAATCACATTTGACTGATAAAACTTTTGGGCTAACACCAACTATTTAAAATACATAGATGCTTGCTGTAGATTTATAAAAACATACACTTTATTTATTTTTTTTTTTTTTTGGCAGAATCAGGGATTGAGCTCAGGCCCTTGTGCTTGCCAGGGAAGCACTTAACCTACTGAGCCATCTCCCTGGCCCCATACACTTTATTTTTATGTGTCTCACTATACAATTATCTATCCACGCTAAAACATTTTTGTATTCAATACAGAAAGTTTACCAATACAGTATTTTTAGTTCTGTTCTACTCTTTATTTTTACATTCTGTTCTAAATCAATATTAAAGCTCAAACAAAATATCATCATAGCAAAAATTAGAATATTCACATTATAATTAAAATGACCTCATAGACCGAGTATTGGTGGTACACACCTGCAATCCCATCACTTGGGAGGCTGAGGCAGGAGGACTGCCAAAAATTGTAAGCCAGCCTGGGCTACATAGTGAGTTCAAGGCCAACCTCAACTACACAGAAAGACCTTGTCTCAAGAAACCAAAACACACAAGCAACAATAATTACATAACCTCATAGAGAAAAAGATAAACATGTTTTTATTGAGACTTTCTAGGTTATCTTATAACTATGTTTAAACCAAAAATAAGTGCACTTTTTTTTGATGAGAGAGCATTAGTAATAAGGTCATTCACACAGTATAAAAGACTATAAACTGTCTAACATATTAAATAAAATATGATACTTTAATACCAAGAAGTACATTTGATTAATACAATAAACTAATATACTACCACTTTACCATATTATAAAACTATGAAAAGACAAAATGAAATATGGATATAATTTTTTTTTTTTACATTTATTTAGTGTGTGTGTGTGGCCAGCTCAGCCCACCAGGGGGCGGGGCTGGCTGGCATGTGGTGCTGGGGGATCGAACCGCGGCCCCTGTGCTTTGCCAAGCTTGTTCCAAGTAGGTGCTTTAGACCACTGAGCCATCTCTCCAGCCCCGAAATATGGATATAATTTATTGTGCTAAATACATTATTTTAAAGGAATATTTCAATAAAACTTATCTACCAATCTAAATTATTTTCTCCAGCATAAAGATATCAAAATACAAAACAGTCATCCTAGCTTTATCATACATCAACGAATCCCTGCAGCCTGCCCTCGCATGCTCGTGCCGTCACACCCATGTAATGAGTCACTGCCAGCTTATGCTGTTCTGGTTCTGACCTCAATATGCCTTTTACACCGACACACAACATAAGCTTCTATAGAGGAAACGCAGCTCTGTGACAGTCCATGTACTATCCCCATAATTTGTATAAAAGGATTATACGTATTACCAACTTCTAGAAGGTGTCAAATTGATCTGTGGGCAACAAGTTAAAAACTCAAGCAATACCTGGATATGATTTGTCTATTTCTGGTCTTTTTAATTACCATTCTTTAAAAAATTGTTTTCCTTAAAAATTTTCCTACATCAGACAATTAGATGTCCTTTGCTTCTTTATTTCCTGGGTTGAGATCTGCATTTGAAAAATATACCTAAGATTTGTACACTATAACTGGTGGCAATTTTTACAGTGACACCTCATGATGATATTCATCTTAAAAGCAATTGTCACTATCACCTCTCCCTTCCCTTACTAATGAGTTGGCCATCTGCTAAGCTGGTAAGACGATAAAAATTTTTTTAAAAAGCATACTTTTTTGTGATTAACTATATATTCTATAAGGCATCAACTTTGGTGGGATGCTTTCCTAAATAAAGCAATTCAACATTTGCTGGTTATGGAGCAGAGACTGCTTACCAATGCAGAGTCAACGTTATATATGAAATCCTGATCCCAACCTACCCAATAGGTCTTGAAACAACAAGTTCCACTTGTGGTTCAGGTTTGGATTCGAGAATGATGTTGTAGACTTCCTCAAAGGTAGCTCCTTGCAGCAGCCTCCCATTCCATTCTAACACTTCGTCACCTGCAATGTCAGTAGGAACAAGCTCAAAACTAAGAAACACACGTGAAATTAAAAATACACTTAAAATAAAAGCAATCAATGAATTCCAGAGCTTAAAAAGCAACACTATGAAATAAGAAACATAAGAATGACCAGTAGTACAAAATTTTATGATCAGTATAAGATATATAGTATTTTATCCAAAAGGACAATGGTAAGATGGAAAAAGATTACATAAAATGTCGTAATTTGATTTCTTAATAGAAATTCTAATGTAGATAACTATCTAGATCTCAACACATATGCACCTGAGTACCTGGTTTTCTTTAAGTTTTCGTTTTCTAAACATTGTCTTGTAAAAACTTAATAAACAGTAATTTACTGAATTCTCTTCAGGGATTTCTCCAATAGTAACAATTGAGTAAGTAAATGTGAGTGACACATTTTTAGGGACTATGCATATCCATGAAATGTGTTCTCTAAACTATGTTGGAACTTTTTTCAAAGAAAGAGAAGCCTAGTGGGAAACAAAGTAAGTTAATAGTAGATACAGATTAGACTATTCATCAGTAGAAAAATAAGATCAGTAAGTAATAAAAATGATTGTCTCTAATATGATATAAGACAGTTACAATTTTCCACTAATCAACAAAGATTTACATCTAAGGAAAATAAGTTATTACTGTCAAATCACTTCTACATGAAATCTTTCTTAACTATCCCCAGTATTTTGCATGGCACTTCTTAGTATGACAACTAGATATTCAATCTACATTGAACTGATAGTTATATATATAAGGTACACAACTCTTCTGTTTGGAGGCAATTTAGTTTTGTTGCAGGAGTTTCAGGGGAAACATACCACTTCCCTACAGAGACCAGACTAGGCACCTATAAGAGTGAGTCTGATTTTACGGTTCTGCCATCTGAGATCCTTTACAAGGCATGAATGTTTATTTATTTATTTATTTTTATGTATTTAGTACAGGGTCTCACTGCGCAGCTAGGACTCATAGTGATCCTCCAGTTTTCAGTCTCCCAAGGGCTGGAATTACAGGCATGAGCCACCATGCCCAGTCTCAATGGTCAGCTCAGTGTGGCCAGCTCAGTGCGCCCAGGGGTGGGGCCAGCACAGCATGTGGTGCCTGCAGTGCCGGGGAACAAACCCCCGTCCCTGTGTTTGCTTAATCAGGCACTTAGTCTACTGAACTACCTCGCCACCCCAGGAGTGTTTTTTTTGAGACATGTCTTAAGTCATGCTCATTAAGTCTCAAGTAATATTTTTTAATTGGAAAAAAATAATCTGTGATGCTTATGTGGTGAGATATAAATAAATGCTATATGAAATTTGTTTTATTTACATGTAAATAAACGATGGTAAAAACCCACCTGGTCGAAGGTGCCCTACAGTATCAGCTAAACTTCCCTTTTTAACTTTGGTAATAAATGCACAGAGTCGACCTGATTCAGTCATCTTTCCTCCTACAACCTGTTTAAAAGAATAAAAGTATTATTAAGATGAACTTGGCGAAGATTTAAATAAAAAATATCCAGAGTAATTTGAAGCTTCTAAAACTGTAATTTAATGTACTGAAAGCCACTTTTTAAAGTAATGTTGCTATCAGGCAATGAACGTCCTCAGAGCTCTGTCTTCATATTGCAAGCACGGTGTAATTAAGTTCACCACTAAAAGTGTGGCAGGCTTCGTAACAACTTAGCAATTTGTGACTTTTGCCTTAAAATGTAAAATTCTTCCTTTTGTCATCTTCCAAAATATATTAAACTACTACATCATTATATAAACATTTTCATTTATAAATTTTAAATATTACCAAATATTTGTCACTTTTACTATGCTTGTGATGTACTACTAAATTTTCATTTATTAGTAGTATTTGAGGTACACAATAGTGTGCACAATGATGATGGTTTTACAGAAAATTACAAAGTTTACTTAATATCATCAGAAGTAAACCTCACATTTGAAGCCCAATTTGTCTATTTTGTATTTTTACTAAAATATATCCTTTAGAAAGAGAAAAATGCTAGGACTAATGCTATGGAATTGTACATACACCTGGCGGACAACTGGCTCGTCACACGATTAATGCCTTGCTTCCAATTAAACTGCAATCTGAGCAATATGTCATGTCAGCACATGAATCAAATAGCAGCAGAGAATTCATTAGCTAAAATAAGCTGCTTCTTCCTCTTCTAAGTTATGTGAAGAATATCTGAATGTAAAAGTCACTAATTTCTCCTATTCCATGCATTTAGTCCATAATTATGGTGAATTATACTCAGTTGCAAATCAGTTAATATTTACTGGTCCTATGCTTGATTCTGAAAACTAACAATAAAAATCAATTGTGTTATCTGCACTTGGCACTGAAATCTTGTGGTATACTAAATGCTTGTCTACTTGGTTATTTAATCTCATTCTAACGTCAATAGCCATTAGCCACACTGCGTAAGTAAGAACCTGAAAGCTAGGAGAAGGTGAACTGTACAAGGCCATGTAGGTGGGACCCCACCACAGCCTTCCCCACCTCTGGACCTGGCAGAGCTGCTTCTCAGTCCACTCCCCACATACTGAACAACCACGAATGACAACACCTCCGTGGGCTTAGCTTTTATCTGCTAGGAGCACTGAATACAATGACAGGTGCAAAATGCTCAGAAGAGTCCCAGCAACATGGGAGCTGCCCCCAGGAAATGCTAGCTGCCCAATTCCACCGATATCCAATTTTTTTTCTAATATCTGTTATTTATCACATTGTACAACACAGCTCTGGAGCAATGGCTAAACTCTAAAACATTTACTTTGTCCTCATTGCAGCTTTTGTTGACACTGATGGCAAAACCAAACAGAGCTCTATTTGCTGTATTTATACCCAAACAATATTCTGATATTTTATAAAACTTGGATTAATATTCTAATTTAATCTCCTAACATAAGTATGCTTAGTTATTCTTAGTTTCTGGCCTTACAATAGTATTCTAGATAGATAGATAGACAGATAGATAGATAGATGGATAGATAGATAGATAGATAGATAGAGATATAGAAATATAGATATATGTATATATAAAACTACATTAATACAAAAGTTATACTGCTATATAATGCACATATCACATTTCCCAGAGTTATATATTGAATAATAAAGTAAAACTATCACTTAAATATAATTTAAACATAGTACAGACTTAAGGAAAGGCTGTATAGGTAAAGTAAGTTTGGTCACTGTGTTAGGGTTTAAATTTATTATAATCAAGTCATTATCATTGTTTCTCGAAGTTAAATATATATATGCCATTGTGGAATAGTGTCAGCTTCTTAAGTAATACTTGGAAAATGAAAAGTTTTGGATGAGAATGCCAGTGTTTGAGAATTTATGAATATGGAAAAAATGTCTAAATTGGTGTAGGTAAAAAGAATTATTATATCCTTTGTTTTTTTGCAGAAGAGGAAAGAATCACAACCTCATGCACGTCATTCCATACCTTTAAGCCGAGCACCGCTCCAGAATCACGAGGTACACTTCCATCCTTCAGGCGCTTATTTAATAAAATCCGGCCAATTAAGCGATCCCCATCTTTAGATGGCTGCCAGGTCACAGGGTGCTAACATATTGCATAACAAACGAGAAAAACTGATGTTTTCTGGCCAACACCTTCTGACTTCACAAGCTCCCTAAGTTCGCAGGTTTGCAGCATTATGATTACACAAACCCGCTTCTGCTCCAAAGCACTGGTCAGAAAAGCTCATTCTTAGAACCTCACTTTCATAATCTCCATTTTTTTCAAAGTTAAATTCTTCAGTTCTCTGATACAGCTCTGAAGTTATAAAAACAGAAATTTGAAAATATATGGAAACTATCCATGACTAAAATTACTTGACAGGGGCTGGGGAGATGGCTCTGTGGAATAAGCGCTTGTCTGTCAAGCGGAGGGGCCTGAGTTCAATCCCCAGGTCTGCCAAAAAAAAAAAAAAAAATTACTTAACAAATCAGAGGCATCAATGATTGAAATGCCATTGAGTGCTCTTAAAAATGAGAATTAACCCTTCAAACACTTCTGGAAGATTTTTAAAAACTATAACAGTAAAAATTAAAAGGTCAAATCATATTAGAACATAAACTCTAAAGCCATGATAGAGCCTTCCTTGAATAGGCCTCTAGATTAAAATTCTAAAACAATGTATAAGCCCCACAACTTTCCGGGGAGTCTGCACGAGAGCAGCAGGTTGCACTCAGAAGGAAGGAGGTCACAGTCCTCCCTTCCCGGAACCTCATTCTTCCTCTCAGGTCGCTGGTTTCATTAGCAAGTTGTCTTTATTAGATAAGTCAAAAATATTTACTGCTGAATGACCTTGAAAAGCTGAAGTATATTTTTTCTCAAAGTAGAACCAGTGCCCGGGCATCATTCCATTACAGACAATATGCAAAATAAGTGATTTGTGTAATCATAACAGCTTCACTTACGTAAAAAACAAGCATGCACATCTTCATGCAAAACTTGGCAGGCAAAAAGACAAGTTCTGGTCAATCATATCTATATGGTAAAAAGATTTCAAAAGCCTCACTAAACTAAAAGCAAAAATAATAAATATCAAAGCAGATGAAAATGGCTCTAATACTAATTAATACTACATTAAAATGCTATGACAATAAAACAAAAAGGTAAAATGACAGTGAAAGGGAAAAAAGAAAAACAACTTTTTCTTTGCAAACAGACCCAATTTTCTCCCTTTTGCCTGGGATTCAAACTATTAATAGTTTAATTTTCATCCCAAGGAATATATATGGAAACAATTGAATAAGCCAATCCAAAATATTGTTTCTTACTTGTGGTTTATAATAACATCACAAAGTCTCACATGCAACCATAGACAAAACAATCCTTTGTTCCTAAGTTTTATTTTCAGATACTTATTTTTTGTTATGCTGTCAGACAATAAAAACAGCAAAGCAAACAAGAGCTTTTTTGGTTTGTTTGATTTTGGTTTTGTTTTTCTTTTCTGCACCTTGAGAAATGCTACATTGACCCTGGAAATGCCCTGTCCTTTTATTATGTTCTGTTTTAATGGGTGACAGAGAGCAAACGAAGACCAAATGAGCAGGTAAAAGGCAGGCTCCACAATCTCAGTACCTTATCACTATGGCTATGCTCCTCGTTAAGGGTTGTGCTACTACAGGTATCTACCCCAGAATCCTTAATCTGGGGCTCAGACCATTCCAAATCCTCTTCCAAAGAGTGGCCACCAAAGTACATCATTTTCCTTTGTCTCTCAGACCTGGTGTTAGAGTCCGACAAAACTGCCTGCTCACTAGTTTTTCTTTTTCCCTTTTGACTGTCCCCTAAAGATGTGGGATAAAAAAAAGATACAAAAAAGAAAACATGCAAAGGTGTAAATAAAAAAGGAAAAGTGAAATGATAACGAAAATTAAATAGTAAGGCTCCACATGTCTCACCAAAGACATTGGGGATGCCTCACTGCTATGCCAAGAAGTATGGTCCAACCAGTTGTAATCCATGTCTCCTGTGAGAGTCAGACAGACACAGAGTGCAGTGAAGGAGACAGAGGAGAAAAAGGACAGACAGACATTATCAGCATTTTGAACTCTGTGATCCTGGTTTTAAAACCTTTGTCACACTCATCACATACATCAAGAGAAACCCAAGATTCCAAATGAATAAATTCACAGAACATGGACTATCCAGGTTATGTATTCTAGGTAGACCCTGTAGAAGCCTCGCAAGAAGAAAAAAAGACTAACAACAAGAATAAAAACAAACCAAAAAAATGGATATTCTGAAAAAAGAAAAGGACCATGAGCTGTATCTGTTTCTCATGCTACTTTTTTCCATGCTGGCCTAATGACACAAGTTTGTTCTCCCAAGACTAATAAACATTTAAAAAGTAAATGGTGATTTACCAATATCCACTATTTTCAAAGTCAAATAATAAATGTTGTCCCTTGAATGCAGTATAATAATCTTTATAATGGTGAATTCTCAAAAATGAGAATGGTTAAAAAACTGGTTGTAGAAAGAATTAATTTTCTGTAAAAATGAAAAAAGCAGATCCATTCAATTGTTATTTTAGAAATGAAATTAATTTTACTTAAATATCACAGATTACTTAGTACTTTGAAACAATCTTCTTCAGCAATTTCATTCTTATGCAAAATAAATTTTTAAAAATAATTTGTTAGACATTTATATATTTGGCAACTAAGAATGAAAATCCATTTCCAAAATTTAATGGATTTTTCTGAAGTCAATACATGACATTTGAAAAGAACTTCTTCTTAGTCTATATATGCACATTTATGTTTTTAAACTTAATTCAGACTTTCATTTATTCAAAAATATTTACTGAACACCTTTATTTGCTATGCCCTGCAATAAGCCTTGGCATAAAGTAAACAAAAGGAAACATGTTTACAACACAATAAGGATAAACAAACAACAAATCATCAGTGCTTTAAAGGAAAAAATAAAAACAAATAAGGTCTAATTTAGATTTTAGAGTCAGCAAACATCTTTAACTAATGAAGTTTAAGACGAAAACTAAAAGATATGAGCTAGTGAAAAGCTAAGAGATAGGCAGATGCCAGGCAGAGGAAAGAGCATTCCAGGAAAAAACATAGAGCAGGGTAGGAACAGAGGGAAGCGGCGAGGCCGAACCAAAAAGCAGCAGAATATGCGCTAAACAACACTGATGAGGTATCATGACAGTCTTCCATGCCAAGTAAAAGATTTTAAATTTCAATCTGAAATATTTTAAGCAAATGACCTCATTTACATTTCCAAAAAATAAATCTAAGTACTGTATAGAGACTTCATTGGAAGACCACTAGAAGTCAAGAGCCATTGAAACAATCCCTGACAAGGTGATCGGAGCCTGAGCAAAGGTGATGGCAACAGATTTGGTAAGAAAAGAGAATGGATTCATATTGTACAGGTAGAGTCAATGCTAAGGAAGAAGGTGAACTCCCAGCTTCTGGCAGCTGACAAATTAATGACAGAAAAGACAATGAATGACATAGAAAAGATTGGAGGAACAGATCTTTTTCATAGGGAAAGAGTGTAAGGGAATTACTCTATCTCACAGCACCTAAGACACCACTGAGATTCATTAAGTTTCATGATATCAAAATGATAAAAAACATGTATCTTAGCATTTGCTAATAAAGTAGTTGGTCCTAGTATATATTTTTTGAAATGCCTATAAATTATTCAAGTGAACATATAATAAGTTCAGTCAAAATGAAATAAAATATTTTCACCTGGAGACATGAATTGGGAATTATTGGCCCACAGATAGAGAAAGATCATGTAGGAGCAAAGTTATGTAACTGATGACCAGGAAATTATGATCAACCATTTTGAATGATTACTACACATTAAATGAGGAATTAAAAGGTATAATTTGATTTGTCAATATGAAGATTAAAGAGAATATAGAAGAGCAGTTTAAATAGAATGATTATGATTAAAATCAGATTAAAGTATTTGAGAAAAGGGAGGTAAGAAGAAAAATTAATGTGGATGGATGGTTCTTGAAATGAAATTCCCAAAATAACATCAGTAACATCATCTGTGTTAGAAATGTAAATTACTGGGCCTCATCCTGGAGCTAATGAGTTAGGAAACTACTGACTGGGGAGTGCAGCCATCTTTGCTTCAGCAACCTCTCACTAGTGTAGGAGAAACACAGAGGCTAATAACTTTATGAGAGAGAATGAAAGCAAATTATCTAATACACACAAAATAAAATTTGTAGAAAAAAACACTTTTTAACCTGTTAGCTAGAGAAGCGCCTCTCAAATTTTTTTTCACAGCACAGATAAACAATTGAAATTTTAAAATAGCACCCAGCATGGGGTAAATGAAGATGGATATTTCTGCTGCTTGCACAGCGACTTACGCAGCCTAGGTTTACTTACATTGCTTACCTAGTGGCTACTCAAAAAGCTGAGAATATCTGTATCTCAGAAAACCTGTTGCCTTTTAAAAAACATTGTTCTACAACTAAGCATTAATGAATTTGTAAATTAGGGGACAATGTGGTATGGTACCTGTAAATTAAAATTCTTGAATGGTGAATATGAAGATAAGAAAATTCACTTCACAATCTCTCCCTTTCCCCATGCCTGTAATCTATCAAAAGTGTAAAATGTAATTTATTTTTCTCTGTAAAGTAAATAAGCCTTTTAACTATTTGAGACTAAAGCAAAACAGATTAACTATTTGAGACTAAAGCAAAACAACATCTGAATGAACTAAAAAAGCAGTTTTGTGCATAATAGTTACTGAGTAAACACTTGAGAGTAAGTGAAACTGATGTTAGCAAAAATTAAATGAGATAATGTAAGTTACACAGGAACTAGTTTTAAGCTGTCACAGCTATTAATATGTAAATAATACTTATCATTTAAAATTCTTATTCTTCTCAACTCAGTAACTCCAAAAGGAAACAGTTACCGAGTTGAGGAGAACAGGAGAGGGAGTGGGGGAAGGAGATTTATCTATGTATGTAAGATGGTTGGGACAACTGTACTGTGCTCTTCTGCTGGTCTACAGAAAGAAGCAGTTAATGCTTTAATTTGTTTATCTCTTTTTTCAATTGTTTGTACTTTTTCCTCTTCTTAATTTCTTATACATTTCTTTTTCTTCTTCTGTTTACATGGATATGTCTGATAATATGAATAACTGGTTGGAAGACAATACTATGTATTACAACAAATACTGTGAAATTCGTATTACTTTATTAAAGTGAAATTCTGTATCACTTGCAATTTGTTTTAATTCTAATTTGTACTCTCTTTAAAAACTAAAAAAAATAAAAATTAAATAAAATTCTTATGCTTTGTAACTACAAAAGGAGGAACTAAGGTAATAATATATATCTTTCTTCAGTAGTAGTACAAAAATGTATTGCTGGTCACTCTAGTTCAGGGGCAAGATTTAAAGACACAAGAACACAAGAAAATTTTAGAACTGCAAAATAACCAATATTTAAAAAGCAAATAGAGGGGTTCCTTGTACTGGACAGAGAAATGACTCAATGATTCTGAAGGGAGAAGAAAAAACTACTTAATCTGATAAACAGATTGACTAAAAAGTAAAATAAAATGAACAGAATCATAAACCCCTGAGAGACAATAGAAAGGTATACCATTCATAGCACTGTATTTCCCAAGGAAGAGGAAAAGAACAGGCTGAAAAAGCACTCAAACAATGGCTGGAAATAGCCCAAGTTGCAAAGCCATGAGCTTCTGGACACAGGAAGCTACATAAGTGCCAGAACAAAACAGCCCAAAGAACTCAAACAAGGTACCTTGAAGCAGAAAAAAAGAAACACCTTACCTAAAGGAGGAAAAGAACCTGACAACAGATTCCTAATCAGAAACCCTCGTGCTCTAGAGGAAGGGGCACATGTTCTTCAATTTTCAACTGAAATGAAAGAAACTACGCATCTGAATGTTAAGGATGATTAAATTACCTCTTGAAGCTGGAAACCATTCCAGAAAAAATAAAATTATGAGCATTTGTCACCAACAGTTGTCTAAACAAAAAAGAAGGAATCTGAAAATATTGATAGGAAATGAAAAACATGGTGAACAAAACTATAGATAAGTACAATAAACTTGAATCTCTCAAATTTTCTAAATTATGTTTAATGTTTAAGTTGCATAGCATATATTGTCTGATGAGGCTACGAGCCTATACTGAGAACATACTTAACACAATAATATCATAGATAAGAAATGAAGGATAAAATGTTCTTACATCTCACTTATCTGGTTAAATGTAAACAAAAGCAGGATATAATACTTTATAATATAGAAAATATATTACCTTAAGCAACCAAACATACACACATAATGAAAAGAAACAATACAGATAAAGCAAAATGCCATTCACAATAAATGTTCAAATAGCCCACAGGAAGACCAAAAAAAAGATAGCAGAAATGAAAAGGAAGAAACTACTTGAAAACAAAAAATGAAATGGCAAGCAGCAATAAAACTGGTGAATAGCATTCCTCATGAAAATAAACAAGGAAATATTAGCAACTGTGTAAAAAGAATTATACATATAACAAAGTAAGGTTTATCGCTAGAATGCAAGACTGAATATTTCGAAATCAATGTAATACATCCCAATTACACGTTAAAGAAGGAAAATCAGGTGATCCTACCACACTTATCACTGATGAAAAAAATCATAATTATAAAACAAAAAATAAGGAACAGAGAAGAAGTTGAACAAATAAATAGTAAAAAAAAACTTACCTAGTTAGGTCATACCTAATAACAAAAGGTAGAATGCTTTAAATGAAAAGAAATTTCATCAAAGACTATAAATTTATCAATAACTTTTAAAAAGCATAAATACCAAATGACTACACAGTTTTATGCACATCCAAGCAGGTCTCAGTGTTAAAAAAAAAAAAACTAATTACAATATGGCTGGATTTCAAGTGCATTATGCTGAGTGGAGGGAAAAATCTCACTGTCACGAAGAGAA